CTTTGAAAAGCATCCTTGAGGCCACAAAGGTATCTCATTAACTGAGGCAGGTAAAGCAACTGCTGAAACGACCAAAGGCACTACTACAAAGTCCTGGGGAGGCGATGACAGTCGTGTAGCTGTACATGTACCAATCAGCAGACAAGCTACCTCAGGTGCTAACTGTTCAACTACTCAGATTTATCACTGCAGCAAGATAATTATGTTCTTCATAAATTTAAATCCTGCTCATAAACTTTAAGTCCTATTCTTGCTTTGTCACGATCAAGGCAAATTCTCCTGCAATAAGAGCAGGACTGGATTTGGGCAGCATTTAGTTTTACGCTGGAGCCCTCTAAACTCGTGACACCAGTCCTCTACTGGAAGCATCAACACATTAAATTATACATATTTGAACTTCAGTCCTTTCCCAGCACAATTTGGTCTTGTACATTTAACCATCTCATTAATACAGTTCCACACCTCTGTTCCTTTAAGGTTATGTAGACAAAAACTAAAAATAAGAAAATATAACCACCTCCCCAATAAGATTAATCTTCTCTATATCTTAATGAAACACAGGCTTTCAGACTGATTTTGTCCATTAAAGCATGTATTTTATTTGCATGTTTACAGTGAACTAGTTTCATTTATAGCAGAACTCTGAAACAACATTTAAGAATTTTAGATTATCAAGAGTCATATTTGAGGTTTTCAATTCTATGATGCTTCCCAAATTTTTAGAGAAACTGAAAGATGTCAAACCACATTGGCATGCTTTTCTACATTACTATCTCCTCCATCTGTAAATCCATGAAGAGTAGCTATCTTCTTTTACTTTTCTATATTAGTATTCATATTAGTCAAGAAAGGATAACTATTTTTTTAATTTCTCATGTATTCTGTCACCTAATAATTGTGTACTGATTTACAAAAAAGAAAAACTTCAAAATTAAATTAAACCAGAATGAAGTCTTCCCCCCACCATCAACACCCCCACTCCCCAGAAGAGCCATAAATCCTTTTTAAGGCAACAGGTTAAGAATACATACATGATACTCATATACTAACAAAATACATATGGGGAGGTATATAATGGTTTGCCAAATCACATCAAGAACTGGCTTTACTGTGCATCTGGCATACGATTCTTCCCCTTAACCCATTTCCATCAAGTTTAGTATTACAACCCCCAAATACAGTTTTTTACAGCTCATATCTTTCACATCATCAGGAAAAGTTAAAGCCTTTTACAATAAAAGAAAACCAGGAATACAGAATAGGAAACAAAGTCCTAAACAGAATAGATAAGGACACCCAGAGCAGACCAGTGACAATCTTCAAAGATGAATGATGTGGCCCAACCCTATAGTCAGTATGGCACATTAAGTCCTCACATCCCTTCTACAGCTTTGCAGAACCTTGCAGAATTTTCACCATAATACTGGTGAATAATGGAAGGTTAGGGTTGACTCACAATGTCCCTAGTGTCAGACCAGTGAAAGAGTCAGAGCTCAAATACTTCATAAATATGTAAGACCTCTAGTAAAATAAAGCTTCCTCCACCTTCTTTAAAGATGCACCATTCATCTTCCTTGACACTAGGCAGTTTTGAAGATACCATATTTTTAAACAATTTTTTTTACAATAATATGAAGAAGATTCTACATTACCAGTTTTCCTGCAGAGGCCTCAAGAATTAAGAAACATACAATAACTGATCCCGTCCCTCCCTCCAAAAACTAGATGAATTCTTTCAAACCTGTCAGTACTTCTGTGACTACTACAGCAATAAAGCAGAAATGCAAATTAAGTATCAAGGTTCTGGGCAAAGAGTTTTAAAGAGTATTTCCAAAAAATATCAGACACATGGGAAATTCAGGTTTATGATTAACTGGAAAAAGATACATAAAAGAATTTGAAAAGTAGTAAGAATAATGCTCAAGATCAGCTTTTATCCAACTAGGCTTAAAGGCACAACATACTATCAGTCTTTGGCAACTACCATCACTCAAATGATCCTATTTCTGATATTCATACTATATGCCATCATCTCCAGTAAGTACATGTGTTTAATTAGCCATTAACGTTCTTAGTCAAGACTCCAACAATGAATTAGTATTTATAACTGGATAAGACAAATTGTACTTGTTATTAAATCTTTAGATAACAGTTTTGCACAATGGTCCTAATTTAAAGAGTAAAAAAATGCATGCCCAATAAACAACGCAACACAAAAAAGCATGATTGCTCCAGATTCGCACCTTCTCCACCCCCCAGAAGACTGGCTTACTCTCACTCAACATAATTTTTAAAGGTTCACTTTAAAAATTATGAAACTGAAACTAATTTTTTGTTATGTTTAATAGCACATGGGGAGTTATAGTATTACTCAGAGCAAACATCAAGTAATTTGTGATTTTATTTCCTGACTTGTACACATGCTTGTGATTAAAACCATATTATCCATGGAAACTGAACTCAGAATTTTTTTTACCTTTAACATTAATTGTGAAGTGGCCTGTAAGCAGGGAAAAATCTGGATGTAATCATGCATGAAAGTATACCAAATCATTTTATTGTCCCAAGCCAGTTGTCATTTTAGAAGCAGTAAGAGTCACCAAGGACTTACATTTACTTTCCTAATAAACACATTTTCATGACTTGCTACTTTTTTCTCATATGCAACAGAAAAAGCATATTTTGCAAAAAACATGCAGAGTGAACATGAAACAGAAACCAAGTTTAGCAATGAAAAACTCTCCTAAACAAGTTACATGACACTAAACAAATGCTCTAGTACCCTTATTCCGCAGACATTTGCATTCAGCAGTGTGAATAAAATATGAAGCTGTACACAACTATGATGCAGGAATGATGCTCAACATGCATTAAGTGGTATTACAGAAACTACATAAAGCATAACATGGCAACAATACTGGCACATACACCAAAATGGTTCTAAAAGTACAGCCATCCAACTGCCAAGCTGGCGTAATTTTCACTTTTAAACCAGTAAATCAATATATGATGATTATTTCATACCTTTTCTTTCAAAACTCTGATCATTCACTTTTTGAAACGTAATTAACTGCATTCTTCACACACTAAGACAGAAACATTATTTGTGTGATTTGGTACAGCTCAGGTTCTGAAGCTGTCAGATGTGGAACTGCTGCTGATACAATGCTGGAAGTTCTAGAAGCAGAATGTTCCACACCGGAACAAAACTGAAGATGAACTACTGCTTCATTATTAAAGTTTTCTTTCTGTGCCTTCTGAAAAAGGCTTTTGAATTTGATTAGAACAGGAGCTGCAGCTTACCTTTCACATGCTCTGTCCCTTAAAAGTGGAACATAATACCTGGAACAATGCAGTGCTACTGTATCACAGAATGAAAAACATTAGCATTTTAAAAGACAGTGTTTCCCATCTTTGTAATTCCAGTTTACAGATTTTCTCCCAAGAAAAAGTACATTTGAATAGTCTTGCTTCTCTAAAGCAACTGTGTGTATCATCTTTCCTGGAGAAATCATGAACACTATTTTCCATATTTTACTGGCTTGCATGTAACCTTCTTGGCAACTGCAGAAAGTGGACATATCAAACTCACATAATTTGGCTCAACGTTTTCACGTACCTTTTTTTCTTCATTACTTCAAATACTTGCCCTCTTGGGCCAACTATCACTAAGAACATAAAACATAACCATGCTATTCAGACATCTGAAGCCCTCAACATATTCCTTACAAGCTATGTATGTCTTAGAAGTACTGAAGTCATCCAAACCCACCTAATGAGAACATATATAAAACTACATTCTCTATGTGGCATGTAGATATAGCACAAACTAACCTAATGTCTGCAGAGTTATGAAGTGTTGCTCTACTGCCCACGCCTCGCTGTTCTTTTTCTTCCATGCTGAAATGAGCAGAATCAGTAATTTTCACTCAGTTTCTTTTACCCTTCTCACTGCATGGGCACAGAGATGCAACAGTGGCACGAAGCAGGCAGGAAGCAGAACCAAGCAGCAAGGAGGGCAAAGGGCTATTCACATCTGCAGCAATGTATGTATTTATTATTCCAAATATGCACAGAAATATTTCAAATTTTCTATTAGCATACAAATACTTAAAACACTTGTAAGCAGCCTGAAAGATGACTTCCAGCTGGCAGTTTGAAGACTGCATTCTACAGTACTGTGATAGCTCATGTATGCAGGGGATTTTCCTGCAATTTCACACTACATAAAAATATTTAAAGCTTAGTAACAGCACTTCAGAATAAACCCTTTTACAGCAAATAATCAACAGTAATAGAGTTTTGAAAAGAAGAAACACATTAAAATGCCCAAAACACCAAGAGCAAACAGCTGCAAAAAGAATTACAATAAATCCATGTGTTTTTCACATCTTAAGATTACATTTCCTTTTCCAACTTGCTTAAGTATATGTGGTTATTTAAAGAGGGAAAACCTGTTTTGCTTGGGGATGGTTAGGCACTGGGTTTGTTTTGTTTTTTGGGAGGGATGTTTTGTTTTTCCTTTCAAATATTCACTGAGAATAAAAATACTTTCCCTTTCACATAAATAAAAACTGATACAGTGAAATTAAGACAAAAACCTACTGAAAATGCCTTAATCCTATCCCAAAATTATTAATAAATATTCACTATTTTATTTTCCTTTACACCATCTTCTGTTTGGTGCTTCTCTGGCTATGATGCAAGGGTGTAAGACTGGATTCTCACTTGTCTGATGAGAGGCTCACAATCTTAAAATCAGTTGTTTCATACTTACGACAACATGAGGTGTGTATACTGTACACAGTTGCTGTATTCAGCCACAAAAATAAAGTCCTACAGAACAATTTCATAACAGAAGAAACATATCCAACTGCAGTGACCACCCCCCAACCTACATCCCATTAATATTAAAAGATTTTTTTAAACATTAATTCATTTCAGTTTTCCTGGTATTTCTTGGCCATCTGCACAAACTAAACTCAAAGTTTAAAAAATCCAATGTAACTGGTGTTTCCATCTTTTCCATTAAAAATTAGTTAGTTTGTGGTTTTCATGTATAACAAGCTTTTAAGTTATTTTTGTGAATTCCTGTAGATACAAAATTAAAAATGAGAGGAATATGCTTTATTATGTTACTTTATTCCCCCTTTCCCACATTTTTTCCATTTACATACAGGACCCTTCACACTTATTCCTGTTCAAGGTTCTATGAAAATTCTTTTAGTGAGAAATTAAGGCAAGAATATCTTTATTCTCGCTGCACTTCAAGTCAAGCACTTAACATCCCGCATACAATTAGCATGTAAATTCATACAGCTATGCTTTACTCTACAGAAATTAAGATATAAAAGCACACAAGTAGAACTAGGAACAACAGAAGCTCTAGACAAACTGTTTACCAAAACAAATAGAAAAACCTTATCAACACATTTATGCAGTAACAGTTACGTTCCTTTTGAATGTCATACCTCTTACTATGAGCATTTTGTTCTCTATTGAGGGACTACATACAAATCAGTAAGTTTTTACCCACGTTTACAAATTTTTTTTTTTCCTTTCATTATGATCTGGGTATAAAATAATCATTATATCAAAACAGGTTTACCTATAAATATGCTACAAGTATCTCTGAATTTAAGCTTTTCTGAATAGTTACCTCAATTAGGAACAAATGGTGGTTGTTCTAAACTGCTTTTCTGAAGAAATCCATCTTTTACTGCTTTTAAAGTCAGGCTGAGGTCATTAATCTGAATACCTCCAAATTTCAATTATAGTAACTTTTATAATAGGTTAAGGAAGTTCAAGATGGAAAAGACCTATTAAATCTATCCCACCGAAAACGAACACACTGAGGGCTTGTTTCCATGCATTTAAAATCATCAAAAGTATTGCTCTCATGAAAATTTAATGTTCAGTTTATCTATTTCACAATTTACATTAGACATACATAACTTAATTTTGATAAACCAGTATTTCATGGATTACTGTGAAAACAAACCTGAAAAGCCTACAGCTATGATTTTTAAAATATTTTATGAGGGGAAATTCAAAACTATTAACAGATTTCATAACAAAACATCAAATTGGTGAGACTACCTACTAAGAACAAGTATATTTTATGGTATAACCCAGAAGGATATACCAAAAGCCAATCCAACAGGAAAAATTATACCTCACATTAAATATTGAAAGTTTTTACTCAACCCTTCTATTAACATCTCACATTTAATTAAATGGATTTTTAAGAAAGCAAATGCTTTAAGGATAATACAGTTCAAGGTTTGCCACTAAACTAGCACTGACTAACCAATAATCTAAAGGAGTAATGTCCAGCCTCTGTATTTTCCACAGGCCATACTCCCTCCCTCCTCACTATTAACGAACTGGGGAAATTTGGACTGGTATTTCATCATACCAGCTGGCAGCACAAGGAAAGCACCAAATCCCAAGACAGTTCTGCATCTTAATGACAGTGCAGTGCCCAAATTAATAAATCCAGAGCTCCTGAGAAGTTAATTAAATAGCATTTGAGATATGTGCTCTCTCAAGTCCTCCAGTCTTTGCCCCAGGCACAACCTAGCAAGAGATGCTGGATGCAGACTCTGTGAAACCACATATGAATATGCACCACTTCAAGCCTCAGGAATGGGACTGAGAATCCATTCACAATTGTGGTCCAATGTAAACTTATCCCATCAGTTTCTACCCAGTATTCCCTTCCATTTTAATAGTTCAATTACCATTTATTTTGACTTGTCTTCATTGAGAAGGGAAGAATTATGGTCCAACTTATTATATAAAAAAATATATGTATTCAGAAATATGCCAAAAAATTAGTTTCCACAACATGCTTAAGTAAAATCAGCTTCATGCCACCAGAGCACGCCACTCTTGCTGAACATCTCACCTCAAAGCATATTCTCCCTTCAAAAGGCTTACAGGGTATTGTTTTTCACATGAGAATCTTCCTTTAGACTGGTTATTTCTTCATTTTTTAGCCAAGTTATCTCAAGGCAGACTGTGACTGTTTAACAATAAGTACTTCACAAAAGTCAATGCATTTGTATTTAGTACCTTTCAATGGAATTTGTAATTACAGATTTTCTATTTTTCAAGTTTAAAAGGAATTTGAAATCAAAAGTGGAAAAGGGAAAAAATTAGTTTGGTATAACATTTTTAAATGACAGTATACATTAAATCAGAATGGTCCTCAAAGAATGCATACTATAAAATCCTATTGGATTATGTTTAAAATTAAATTAATCTAACAGTTCATATTGTTTTCTTCCCATCTATTTTAATCTTTTGTTCTAATAAGAGTCTCCAGTTCATCATATCTTTATGTCCAATTGGATAAAAAAGATGTAGACAATACATAAAACAACTTAAGGTCAGAAATTTTTCCAGGTAATCCATAGTAATTTGTATTTTTCTTAGGAAATAAATACAGTTAAGTATACTTGAATCACCACCAAGTTTCCCAAAATATCAATGTGCTTTATCTAATGAGCACACTGGACAGAACTACAAATAAACTAACTCACAATCAAAATTATTTCTATTTATTTTAAGTGCCCAATAGCTCCCCTTCAAATGAGTGAGGTGATAAATGCAAATGCAGTTAGACTAGCTGGATTCTGGTGGTGGTGTTTCTTTTACTTAAATGGCATAGTAAAGCTTTGCTATATTTAAAATTAAAATTGTATCTCACATGAAAACTAAGCAGTTTAGACTGAAGTCTCAGGAATAATGTAAAAACTCAGCCAGTACAACCAAAAGTGCACTGTAGTCAATTTCATATCCTCTCCAGGCTTATTTTATTTACCACACCATAGAGCAAAGAAAGAGAGTCAAGACTTAATAGTGCTTTCTAGTCAAACAAACCAAACATAGTTAAAAACTTAAGTACGTGTGTACACAAAAAAAATGATACTGATTGGACAGATGAGGAACAAGAAAAATTAACCACTTCCAGCACACAGGCACCTTCAAGCAAAAAGACTGCTTGGCCACATCTACATACCATTTTTAGGAAACAAATTGGGACCATTCTTAACAAAATTATCATATAGCTAGTCAGTTACTACCACATATGGCAAAATAAAAACCACTCTCTTTACAGTGGAGCTGTAGACAATCAACATGGCCAGGCAGCCCTAAGAAAGCTTTTATTAAGAGCAGAATTTGTCAGCCTGTCATCAGCTACCAAAGGCATTCTTCATCTTTAAAGAGTACCCAAATTCAACATTTCTGTATTTATTTTTTAGGATTTAAAGGCTCAGTTCACTGATATTTAAAATGAGAGATAGGTTGGACCAGATGATCCTTGAGGTCCCTTCCAACCTGGTATTCTATGATTAGATGATTTTCTGCAATAAGGACAGCAGAAAAATCCACTGCTACCATGGCAGCAGAGCCATTCAAGTCAGTTTTACGGGAAGGGCAGCTCACAACTATGGAATGAAAATAATTAATATTACTTAATATTACTCTACAACTTTCAAATACATACATACCTCTGCTTGCTGGCAAAAATGCAGTGCAGTAAACACGCACTTGAAATAGCACGAGGCTGGCAAGGAAAGAATGAACCATTTTCTGCAGATTTGGTAATCTTTAATGTACTTCTGAAACATACTCAGATACTACAAGGATGAGGGTGTGTATATATCTAAACAAATACAGGAGTTAATCACAACACCTGAATGACACAGCCTTTTCCTTTGAAAAACTGAAGAGACCTCTTGAATCTAGTTCAAGTAATGCTTAAAACATGTTCCACATATCTTTACAGTCTGGAATTACCAACTCACACCAGTACTTTCTCAATCCCCATAAAAACCATCATGTGTAAGGGCAAAAAAGATGAGACAGAAGTAATTTAATATTTAGACACAACTAGACACCAATGTAAACTGCATTTTCCACTAAATGCAGTATACCAAAGCAGAGAGCTTAAGTAGTTACTACATGTAAACACTAGTTTAGACCCTTGTGAAAAAACAGTAATTTGCCCAAATGTTGAGTTTTAGGAATAGTGTGCTACATAAAACCAGTTACAGGGGTTTTTTTGGAAGAATAAGTGCTGTAACGTGATACATATAAGTAAGGGAAAGAGTAATTCAGACTTTAAACCTAACTCACTATTGCACTGCAAACAATAAAGTGTGGCATGTATCTCAGGTCAAGCACAAAAGGGCAACATGAAACACAGTCTAGATGAAAATGCTTAGTAGTTGCACATGACACAAGTGAGAACCTACCCACGTGATAACTCCTGAATTGTATCAAAACAATCTCTGTTTTAAGCCATATAACACTGGCAATTTAAATAAACTTACTTCCAAAATGCCATCAATGCCACAGTTTTCCTGTTACCCATTTGCTCATAATTCAATTCACCAAGGCCATAACTGCTATATTAAGTAGTAACACGTACATGCTCTCTCTGCTGCTTGCATCCCATGCTTTAAGCTACATACATATCATTTTGATATAATTAGGGCATGTTATCTCAAACTTTTTTAATCAACTTAGTATCACTATTCATGCAGATAAATTTCATTAATTTCTATTTCTGAAAACATAAGTGAACCGATAGAACACTGATATTTTACAACTATTTTGCACAAGAAAAAAGCAACAGTAACAAAAAATATCCCTACTTTCTTGCCACTGCAGGAATAGAACCAATAGGTCTTTTCCATCATCTTCCATGACTGAAAATCCATATCATAAGCAGCTTCCTAATAGCTTTTATCATGTTTTATCTCTAAGACACAATCAGCAAATCTAGCCTGAGTTGTGTTGGAAATGGGTATTTTTCAAATTCATCATTCTGTAAAATATTTATCAGCAGTCGTGTGCAATCTTTCTAAATGCATATTACCCTAAGTGAACAATTATTTTAACTGGAAAACATATATTTGCCTCCGAATTAAACAATTAATCATTGATAACAGACTTGTTTCTATTCAAACCAACCACTGGGGGTAACATATAATGATGCATTAGGCAGTGGAAGGCATTAAACCAGCTTGCACAAGTGTCTCCTTCCTTGCAACAGCAACATACTTTAATGATCAGAAGAACACACAGATGTCTTAATTTTTCTTCTGTAGAAGTAGGATTTAGGCAAATTCATTCATACTGTTATGAATAAAGCATACATACAGATTCCTTTTCCAAAGTTTTTTTCCCCCCCAAGTTAAATTTTCCAGTAATATGAGTGAGAGATACTCTGCTGATAAGCCTGTGGTGACTAAGTTTGCAAAGGGAGACTGAGATGCAAGAACACAGTATCCTTGAGAACACTTTGTATAAAGTTTGATGTTCTTCAGAAGTCAAAACAAACAAAAGTTGTGTTATAAATTGTTCATAGTATGTACTGCAACATGCAGTTTTGCTAAACATTCACTATTAATGGGACTTTCTTGACACATAGTAGAAACTACATAAGAATGAGAATGATGCCACTTATAATTAAGCATAAAATTATTTTCACCCAACATTAGTAATAACATTCCCAAAATCCTTTCAAGTGATTTTTATATTTTATTGTAATCAGATAACTGCACGTTTTACAGCATAGTCACACATTGTATTTTGCTAGTCACAAACACATTGCCTTACATAATGATCCGCATCGTTTCTGCTCTATACTACAAAGCCTATGACTGAATACAAAAGAAGTTTTACAAAATAAACTGTTTTAAAGACTACAATAACAATAAAACCGTTTCCAGATAACAGCTAAAATTATAAAGGCATATCACTGTATAGTTTTACTGGAATTTCTAAACAGTAAGGAATGAAATAAGTTTTAGTATCTGCGACGCTTGTTAGGTCCTTCAAAGTTGCCCCCTGGGTTTCCTCTACCAAAGCCACCAGGTCCACCACTCACGGCACCTACACCACTCATTGGCGGCTGAGGAGTTTCAGAGCCCGTTCTACTAACCAGAGGTGAACCCATCTGTGATGGACCTCCTTGAGGGAATCTCTCATTATGCTAATACAAGTCCATTTGGAACATGCCAAATGTGAGTTACAACAAAAACCACAAGTGATGTTGTCATGAAGTTCAGCAGATAGTCCAGTAGAATCAGGATCACACATAGAGGGAAGAAAGGAGCAATTCAATTAGTTATTATGGAAAAAGAGCTGGAAATTAAAGAGTGCTAATGTTATGCTCCAACTTTGGAAAGTAAATTTAAAATTAAACACTTAAGTATTAATATTAAGACCAACTCTGGTGCTGACTATAACTTCATCCTTTCAAGCACATCGAAAGCAATACATATTCTCTACGTAGCAGAAGACACAGCAAACAATTTTATACCTGAGCCTATTCTGCCTTACATACCAACTACAATGTTTCTCCCTAAAATAAATTAGACACAGAAATATTGTCAAACTAGGGAAAAAACACGAGCTTCTGTATATCTAGAGACTGCAGGTTTACTCTTTTAATAGCAATATAACCTAAAGACTTTATATCTGTGGATATTTCAGTCCATACTACCTGGAGTCAGCCTTTTGTACTGCACTTAGGAATCTTTAGTTAGACTTTTAAAACCTAGTCCAAATAAACTGACACAACTAGTGACAAAATGCATAAATGGACTATGTTTAGTTAAAAAAAAACTTGGTATAAACCTAAAGCTTAATCTGAAATATCAACATAAGATGAAAATGCAGTTAATGTTCCACATTTACTTTCCTTAGTTCTGTGACTAGTATCAATAAAGGTATATGTGCTTACACAGATTTGGCTATGGAATTAAGACCTGAAACAGAAAACATGCATCTGAACACTTACAGTTTAGTATTTATGCAAGTGTTTAAAAACAGAACCCCACATGAAGAAATTTAAAACATTAACTCAATATAACATAAACCGTTAAAATCACAGATATACAGTACAATCAGATCTTGAAATAACTTATCATTTACCTGTTGAGGATAGTTATGCTTTCAGAAGAAATTCCTTCTGTACAGAGATCTAGGTTAACTGCTCAGGTATTCAAGTTCAACAATACTCAACACTAGCACTTCATTTATATGCCCAAATCAGAAGAATTCTTCTGAAAGTCTAACTTCCATAATAGTAGTAGTGCTTGACAATTCTAAAGTCTGCTAATTCATCTCTATATATATTATTTAAAAACAGCATTATATCTTTATAAAAAGATATACAACTTAGATAATTTTATATATATATATATATATATATATGCATTGTTTAAATTTTGACACTGCATAAGGAAAAAGTTACTTCAACAGCTGCATAAAGATCTACTACTACACCAAAGTACCTTAAAATCTGCAGCACTGGTTAAAAATTGTTCAGAATTTAACTCATACCAGCTTATAAGGAGTGAATATGAATTTCAACAAATGGCTTATCACATACTCCTGACAATTTTTTGCATTTGACTTACTGATAAAAAGTCAAGTTCTCTTTCCAACAAGGATCCCTCTCTCCAACTAACAAGAAAACCGAAGTAATTACCTACCTACAGTAAAGTATCGGTAGAAAAAAAGCTATTTTTAAGAAGTTATGTTCGAAGATAAACTATGTTTCAAAGCACTCCAGTAGAACAAAAATAAGATTGTTTCAACTTTCCCCTAAAGACTTCTGAAACACATCCAGTTGAAAAAATGAAAACTGTATTTCTGGTTTATAAAGCATATTCTCCATTTCTCTCAGTGGAAACTTAAATTAACTCTTACAGTGTTTTAGCAGACAACCCTTAAAGGATCTTTAAAGTGTCTTTCCAACAACAGGGAAGATACAATATGGCCAGGCCTTTCTGTAGGGGCCTGTACCCTTAATTAAAAACCTTAAAAGTCCGAAGTGGGGGGCGGGGGGAAAATCATGGCATCTAGTTTGTCCTTCAGAAGCATGCAGAAGAAAATGGAAGTAAAAAATATTTGGCTTAAAACGTGCATTTTGAACTGTCAGTATATTCCCTTCATTTTCATACCTGGAATGACTTTTTTGTAGAAAAACAACAGTTTTGAGACAGATAGCATGTTCTTTTCATTAAATCTCTTTTTCAGTGTCTAATCACAAGAGAGTGTTCCAGAGGTGACCAGTATACAACAGTTGCCAGCAAAAGCATCTCTGAAAACAGCATTTTGTGAAAAGCATACCCTCATCTTTGTGAGAAATGACACAACTGATAAAATGAGCTGGCTCCTACGATGTGAAGTGAAATCCTCTCCTTTAACTGGTAAAGACCAGACTCATATATTTTGTACTCAATCAAAATCTTATTTTCCTTTAAGGAACAAAGGATTTTGTCCAGAGTTCATTATACAGATTGTTCAATCACAGATGGATACTGCTGAAATGGCATATATGAAAAAATACAGCTACAAAATGCTTGTGTTCCAATAAAACTATAATGGAGTCACTGCTTATAACATATACTCCTTTATATCACACTACCACTAGAACATCTCAAGTATCTATTTACAGAATAATACTGAAAAATATGTAAAAAATAGGTTAAAGATTATACAGTTGTTTCTCTACGTAAGACATTACAGCTAGGAAAAGGGACCTGCTATGAGAACAAAGCAAAAATGGCTAGTGCTTTAACTGCATCCCAATGAATACCTACTCTTGATAAAAAATTCCAGATGCATACAAGACATTCCCTACCACCCTTGGCAACTGGGCAATATTATTTTTCCTGTATTGATATGACAGTTACCCCTAACAGGTGTCAGTATACTTATTTTCTAAGTGACATAATTACTGTCATAATCCCATGCTTTCAACAGTGTTAGAAAGGAAATACAAAAACCCACTAAGTTGCTTTAAAAAAATTCAATAGTTTACACAAAGATATCTTCACACTACATAGCTTCCAACATTTAACTGTTCATCAGAACTCCCAACAAGCTAAGAAAAATAATTCAGTTTCACAAAAGAAAAAAACAGCAAATACCTAATTTTACAGATTACTCTGCTATGTTCTTCCTTATTCATTTCACAGAAGTCATTTCTTCTTATCGCTGAGTTTTACATGACAGGTCATAGATGGTAAGTTCTGCCACGAGTGTGGTACATTCTAACTTCAATTTAAAGTCTGGTTACTGATCAAAGAACTCACCCTGTTCCTAAGGGAAGTAGGATTTTCACAGTAATATCAAATAAAGATTTCCCTTCCGTGTTATAAATTATTCACATGAACAAGTTTTAACAATTACTTTTAACAGATTCAAAACATGTAACATGTTTTTACTCAGTGTGAAAATATCTTTGGTAACAAAAATGGGCCGTGAAACATGACAGCTATTCAAAGTAATTAAATTTGTGATACATTACCACTGTTCCATTATCTGGCATCATTGGTGTTCCCATATTTGCAGCTCCTTCTGGTCCCATGGAAGGACCAGGACCCATTGCAGGGCCAGGTAAAGTTCCTCTGTTGTTCATATTCATACCCATCATTGGAGGAGGGCCTTGGTTACCAGCAGGTGCTGGGCTAAACGCATCTATGCAAAACAATCTATACTTAGAGCTGTCCTATCTGAATTTTACAAGAATAAACAAACAATTTACAATATTTAAAAAGCCAAATGTACAAGACTTCCAATACTTGAAATGAAAAAAAAAAAATTCTTTGAGACTGTACATTTATCTCAATCATCTGCTTTTAAACAGATTTTCATTAATCCCTATTATTTTGCATTATATAATCTGCTTCATGTATTTGAACATTCTGAACTTCACAGCTAAATATAGCTGTACAGTTTCTGTGCAGAATTTGGAGTGTTCATGTAGCATACATATGCAGTATACACACCACAAGTTAGCAAAAATCTCAAGTGATTTTGCGGTAATTAGCAGCTATAAAACAACTTGGCTCTTTTAGAGATTATAACATATTAAATATACATTTGCAAGAACTGTTCTACCAGTACTGTGCTAATTGTATATAATGTTACAGGGTATTCTAACATCTAAAAGCAATACCAAAGATGGTACTCAACTTTGCAATAAATTATTTGTAATATGTCATAAATAATCTTGCATTTAAATATACTTTATTAGTAAGCACCAGAAAACTAAGGGAAGTTTTGTTAGAACTGAAAGTTAGTCTCCTCCAAAACTCTGATTCACAGCAAGAGGTAGAAGTTTAAAAACATCTTTTTGAGATTATTTAGCTGTAATATTGCACTAAGAAACACCACTCCACCAGTACCCACTAACATACTCAACAGGTAGGTTAAATTGCTTTCAGAACATTTTTCTCATGTTATAAGGAAGAATAAAATCTGATTTTATATTTATTTATTTATTTTACATCTGCTATTATATTATCATCAGCAGTCCCTGCCCTCCCAGCAATAGTCCACCCTTTTCAGGCAAGTGTGCATCCAAAATCTGATAATCAAAGACACGCCTTTGGACTGCAGCCTATGTTTTAAGTCCTGACAACATACAAGAGTATCAAGAAATGTGGCATATTACTAGACTAATAAACCTGCTAATTTATTTCAAAAATCAACCTCTCACCTCTCATCACAACCCTAACTTCTTCAGTAATTAATATATAAATGTGCATCATTGAAAGCAGGCCATTTAGCACAGATACAGTATATCTGCAGGTATGCAAAACTGCATGTTTATTACCTGCCCTGAGTTCATGTAACACAGCAGTCAGTGCATCCAAGATACTGCTGCTAAAATTACATATCTGAGCTTGATTATACACAAGCCAACTTCAAACTGCTTAGCAAAAACAATACATGCAACATGGTAGCATGTTGAAAAGAGAAAAATCCTGTAATTTTGAAAAGCAGAACTCAAATGAGCTTAGTAATAAGAAACTCCAAGACTGCTCCCTATGAAACTAAGCCAAAACAAAGGTATGCACAAGTCAGATACTTCCTACCTACACATAAGCATGATCAGTTAATGTAGCACATAGAAGATTGTGCTACAATTTAAGAGAATTATAGTTTAGTATGTCCTAAAAGTCTTTTAGTGGCATCCATTCAGTGACTAAATATGGAAATAAAACTGCTAGTATAAGAAGAAACCTTTGTTTTCAGAGGCTAGAAGTACTCTGCTGGACTATCATGATTGGCAGTGCTTAGTGCTGGTAATAGTGCCATTTACTAAAAGTAGACAATGCTCACGTTTTTGGCTTGCTTACCAACCTAATTAACCTTAGCTAGCTGGCCACACACAAGTAGTGTTTGCTTACACTTCAACTGCAAAAAAGTTCTTATCCTCCATATCATACAAACACACCCATATTGCTTCCAGGGTGATGTACAGTGACTATCAAACCTCTGCATTATTAAGCCAGTTTCAGGTAAAGTCAGCTCAGACATGAGGACAGGGAGTGTAATTCACAGTTTCATCAAGAGGTCACTACAGCATTTTAGCTATACCGCAGAGGACCTCCTATCTCCAAAGCTGACCCTTAAGAGCTAACCACTTGATTGCCCCTTCTTTTTTTTGTGGTACATTGACTTTAGCAGTTAATTCACTGGACCAGGTTCAGCAATAGATGGAAAGCAGTGACGAGTGTTCATGACACAATGCACAGACACTAAGAAAAGGTCTTTTTCTGGAATACAGGGGGCTGAAAAAGTATGCTCTAAGTGTCCAAACTGCACATGCCAAGGTCCCAACTGCCATGGTCAATAATCCTCATCAATGCAGAGACAGTTCCCAAAAAACCCTTTTTTTTGCCCCCCTGTACTGAGACACAGATTCTCAGAACTTGTCTGCTGCAGAAAATGTAAAAATGAGTGGTTCTGCACAAGTCATCCCAAAACTAATTAAATCTGATACAGAGGTACCTTGATTTCCAATAACCCTATCATGCAGGTATTTCTACTACTGAAGATACTCCAGCTCCCCAGTGTCACACATAAAAAAAAAAAAAAAAAAAAAAAAAATCACAAATGGCACAGGTAAAGGCCAATTAAAAAGTTACAATTCCAACAGAAATGTTGAGAAAGGAAGCTAAGATCAACAATTAAAGGTCTACTGCAGGTTTTGGGGGTTGGATTTTTTTGGTTGTAGTGGTGGGGTTGTTAACGGGCTGGAGGAAAAAAAAAATATACTGAGCTAAACTAAAATCCAGATACTGTGGCAACAAACACTATCTTTAACTATTCACTACGAATATTTTTCCCTGTCTAAAATGGTAGTTCCCTGTTACTATAACTTCTTTTGGAACTACACATTTATTGCTAAAAGCATTTGTATCAAGTTTGAAATCAAGTCATAGCACAAAGCTTACAAAGCAAGATTATGAAGAACATCACTGTCAAGCATTAAAACCTGACCAGAAAAGGGCTGTGAACCTACTACTATAACTACACATTTAAAATCTGTACATAAGAAGTGTATCTTGCAGATCTGGACAACTGCACAGTATCAACATTTACAGAGTCTCCTAATTAAATTAAATTTTCAAGTAAACCGCAATATGCAAAACTATAAAATAAAAAAATTTAGTGACAATTTATGCTTCAGCTTATTATTTGTAGATAATTCCACAATGTCTTCCTTTAGAATTATTTTTAAAGCTCTTCACTGTCAGAAAAAGCCTATTTCTATTTTGCAGCTATAAATGTGCTTCAATTAACAAATGCAAGGAAATGGTGAGTAACATTTTAAAACCTGGACTGAGTAGATTCATTAGGCTATAAATTCGCATTATGTAAAAGGTCAAGTGACAATGTTTACTAAGTTTTGTGTATACTTTCAAATTTAAAATACGTAAAAATAGTATTAACTTTTCTTTAAATTATCATCTTATTTTAAATGAACATCAGGAAGCTTCCAAGAGACACACATTGACAGTTAACATAGTTTAATGAGATTTGCATTTTAAAGAAATATTTTACGTTTTAGTCTTGTTTAAAAGCAGATATTCTAGAGAAGATTCCAAACTCTTTCAGTCTGCATCTATAGAGCAAAACACTAATTATTAAGAATGTACTTTTCTAGATTTCACAGTAATGTTTTTAGCTGTGACAGTATTTTAAGTCACAAAAGTGAACTGAAAACATTTGCAAATACAGACTTGCAATAAATTAGTAGAATACCAACCACATTACTCATTAATCTTTTGTCAGGTGCATCAACAAAAACTTACCAATTTTAAGCTGTACATTTCATTGCATGCAATTACAGTCACAACTTCTCTGTGTAAGTAGTCCCTCCAAAAGAATGCCAAATGCTTTCTGAACAGAAAACTCTTTTTTTTTTTTTTGTATCAGATAATTTCTAGAGTATAACCTTTCCCTGCCTTTTTGTTTCTTGCACATCATATTTTTCTCCCACAGGCAGTCAAAACAATAAAATAAAAATACACCTTGGGGAATAAAACAGCTGTTTGGAAGCAAAATATGTGAGGGGTTTTAATTTCCTAATACTGTTTACTCCTTTTTACCTGTAGTTGTCACTAATAATACTTGAGTAACATGTACAGTCCCAAAGAAAAAGAAATTTTACATTACAGAAGCCTTTTTCCTTCAGATCCCTACCTCCCATGTTTATTGCTCCACGAGGACCCATATCACCCATTCTCATTTCCTGTTCTCTCTGAAAGCAAACATAGTTTTCATGGTCAACCTATCATTCTTAGAACTTAAAACATTCCCATTTACTCCATGAACATAAAAAAAATTCAAGTTTCAAAAGTTTCCATTGATTACAAAAATGTACAAGGAATAAAGGTAACTGTACTCCCATTTTTATAACATCAAATGGAATAATAAGTTCAATATAGCAATGCTGTACATTTCTGCATAATGCTAAAGGTTAAGTATCACAAGTTTCATTTACCAAGTCTAAAGCTCCCAAATAGTTACAACTGCAAATGAATCTACCTTCATGCAGGTTTTTTATTAATACGAAGTATATTTACATTTTAACTATTAATGAAGAGGTCTTCTTACAGTACTGGATAAAGGCCGTGGTTCAATAATACAGTCAATCTGGCTTCACAACTCAATGCTTATGTTGATTGGAAACCAAGATCTGATGTGTTACATTATAGTATATAAACTTCATCTGCCAGTTCATTTTTGTTCAAATAGCTTTGACTTAACTTGGTGGTGGTACATTTTTTGATAAATTCTATCCTGCTATTATTATGTTAGTTCAGATACTGACCATCCTTTTGAAACCAGCATAAAGATATAGTATCAACACAAACTATGTAACATGCATTTATACTAAGCAGACAAGTAACATGCCAAATTGATCTAGATTCAATTGATGCTCAGTTATCCAACAACAAAAGATTTCTGACATTACTGATCATGAACCACAGTCTGCTGTAAAACAATACTCAAAAGATAGTACCCAGTTGCAAAAATCATCACTTAGGGGAAAAAAGCACACCTATGACAGATAATTCCAAGGGGTTTTAGTATTACTGTTTACATTGAAAGGATAAAATAGAAACAAATGCACAGTTCAAAATGAAAACTAATGAAACTTACTTCAATTCTCTGCAAGGATGTTAACATATATTTTACACTCTTAAGTGAACACACATGTGCTGAGAATAAGCAATATACAAAACATTTACCTGATTCTGAAAATCATTCCACTTAAGATTTAAGAGTGTAAGTTCAAATGCACTTTGAAAACAATTCCATATACTAAGCAACTGAATCAGCCTTGCTAAAAGCAACATTTAAACAGAAATACTATCAAATCAAAATACATTTGTAGTTTTTTTACGGTTTCACAAAACTCCTTTTCCTTCAGTCATGTTTGGGATGCCAAACGCGAGTCTTCTATCTTCACACACTTAAAGCAGCAAACACCAGTATTTGACAGAACAGAGTCAATAGTTCTGTAAAAATATCCTGGTATGGGACACTGTCCTAAGATATATGACAAAAGGCTCTCAGGTCGAATTTGTGTATTAACCTAGAAAATGTACTTAACATAAGAAGATCATAAGCTATTTTCAAAAGAGTATGGCTTAGCATGGAAAGGAATAGTACGGGCTCGTCTAAAAGGCTCAAGCAGGGTTTAAGGTCCAGCTATGAAAGGCCATTGATTAACAATAAGGACCTCTCCTTCTGACTGTAGAACCCACATTAAAACTCTGTAACAAAACATGCAACTACTTCATCAGACCTTTCACAGTAATGTCAACTGACATTTTAAGTAAAATCAGCAGTCCTTTTCAGATCAATCATACCCCACAAGTTGATACCAAAGAGTTAATCACAAAATTCAGCATGCAGCCTTGTTGACACTAGTCTGCTTTTACACCTCAGCCCTGCCCTGACATGAAGCAGCAGAAGGAAAAGTGGTATTTATCATCCCTAATGTCAATCCCTAGCCCAACATGGTAGAAAACCACCATGACTAACAGTTTACATTAATCAGACTGTGCGTGCACGAGTGTGTGCTTAAGTGAAAACAGGGCATGCCACAAATAGCTGTAAGATACTCTTTAGCTACAAGGGAAAGTACCAGATTTCAAATTACTGAACACAACTAACTTTGACGCATTTTGGGCTCAATTGGAGGGTTGGTTTTTTTTAAACAAGAAATGTGCTATTTAAGGCAGGGACAAATACAATACCAGCTAGATAAGGATGTTAAGTAGGGAGCTGTAAAGCTGTACTAGTTACTAGGACTTAATTTTCTTTGCAAAGAAGCATTGGCAAGCTACAACATATACTTTTTTTAAAAAGCACACTAAACTTCCTAGCAATAAACCGTTTCTTTCTCAGCTTAAAATGCTACCAGTCCTCAGTTAACAGTAAGTACAACAAGAGAGGGGTAGGAACCTGTAATTTTTACTATTTTTAGTCTAGTCTAACCTTTGTAAAAAAACCCCATGAAGTAATTATTTGCCATTTTGTAGCTTTAACTTTGGTGTTGAATTATTACCACTTAAAAACATTTCAGCTATAGACTCAAGATCCATAAATGTGCCTTATGATCTCCGCTGCCTGTTAGTCTATCAACATGCCTACAAGAATTATTATTCCTACTGTTTTATGTCCACAATTTATCACGCTCTTTTGAATTTTCTGTACGGGGAATTCTTCTATACTGTTAACATGGAATTAGAAAATTTAAGATAAAACCCATCAGAGAAAATACTAACAGAGAAAATGTTAACTGACAGCATATATCATTAATATAATTAAATGCTTGATATATTAAATATAAAACCATATACTTTGATAATTTGCCAAAACCTATATTTGCAGGAGTCCTGATGTAACAAAAATTCAGTCCTATCCCACACATCATGTCCTACACACCTATTTATTAGTGAGCATAAACAAACTACTTAAGGTAAATTAGGTTAACTATTCCAGAGGTTTTGCCCAAAATATGACAGAAAGGAATACCAACAGGCAGCTATGACAGAGTAGCCGAACCAGTGCTGACTGATACTCCAAGCCCACCTGAGAGCTTCATTCTTTCGATACTCAAGCCCTTTGCAGAACATAAGAATGAAAGCATTATCTTCTCAGAGCTTCTTTTCCTCACTATGCAACTGCCCATTCTTCTGTTGTGTAGCAACCTGCTCCAGCCCCTTCCCTGAAGCCACTCGTAACTATCCATAACAGGGAGTTAAAATTGAGCAGAAAGAGAGGAGGGCTAAGCTTTTACTAGAGAAATATGTAGGGAGGCAATTAAGAACCTCTGAAGTCATGCAGTACCTGGGAAAACAACTTAAACTGGAAGAGAACAAGAAAAATGGATGATATGCAATTATAGGGGGAAAAGAAAGCCATAATAGAAAGAATGCATAGTAAAGTGTAATTTCAACTTTGGGAAGATTTTTTTAAAAACCCAACACCTTCAACCAAAAAACAAAGGGAAGCAAAGAATAAATATCCCATTGTAAAAGGGTAACTGTTTACAAAACTCAAAAGAAAGCTTTCCAAATGACTTCTGTTGCAAGATTCTTCTAAAACACTTCAGAACTCACTAAAGCAAGCAACCCTCAAGAAGGTCTTATTCCTCTGAGTAATTTGCTTTTAGAAAAACTGTTATGATGGCAGCTATAACATACTTGCTAATTACTTCAGATACAAGAATTTAAAATTAGATTTCTTCAAAATTCCAACTCAGTTTCATGTCAACTGTAAAAAGTAGATCTACACAAAAATATTGAATACACCCAATTTTTAAATTACATATATATTATATATTATACATTAACACAGTATGGATTGTACCCTTTTTACAAGTATCAGAAACAAAAATTCTTGAGCATTTAAGGTATATCATGTGCAACATTCTTACACCTCAGTCACCACTGATACCAGTAGTCTAAGTACACAGAGAACTGCCAAGATGATTCTTCAAAATTTTTTAAATATATTAGGAGATTTTTAAATTCACTCTATAAAACCATGCTACTATTTTGAAAAGACACTTAAGAATTGATACAAAAAGAATGTATCAGATGCAATTCCCTTCTCACACTGAAAATAAAAATACAAGTAGTGATAAAACAGCGAGTTTTTTAACTGACAAATCAATACTACCTTTTTCCTAGAAACAGGCCTTACAATCGAAGCAGCCCAAAGGAAGTAAAAAAACCTTGCCTTCAAAAGATGCAAAATTCATAGTATGCAAAAATTATGGTATGGAATAAATATACAAAATAAAGATGCAAAAATTATGGTAATATTTTAGAACAGCAAAAAGCAGGATATAAACAAAAACATGAAAAGAGCAGATCACAAAGTTTTCTTCAAGCATCTGTGGCCAGGACATGCACCTCCCAATTAACACAGGACTATTCACTCACCTTTCAGTTAAGAAATGGTGACCAAAATAAAACTAAGACATAGCATCAAAAAAATACTTTATCAAAAAAAAAAAAGAACTCTTACCCCATAAACTTAAACTTGCAATTAAAATCTGAAACTTAATTAGCACTTTATCTAGGTGTTGTGCGTAGAGCAAAAATCACAGCGCTGTTGATTCTCACCTGTTTTCATTAACATGGAAACGGAACTCTATTCTCTAGCAGAGTTTATATTTGTCAAAATAGGTATGACATTTCTGTTCCTCTTACTAGAATTCATTACTCCATTCTAAAGTGGTTTATTTCATTTAGTTCTTTCTAGAAAAGAAAAATTGACAAAGGCCTCTCCAGGAGGCATAAGATCCTTAAACAAAATTTTAACTTGTTGAAAAGGTGCCTATATTTTAAAGACATAAAATCATAAAAGTGGTTAAAATTGATAGTTTAGCAGTCAAAACTAGAATTTGGGGGATTACTTTTGATTGTGCATTATTTGTCTTTTCCTCAGTATATTCTACTAGCTCACGTCAATGACTAGCTCACTGGAAGTTAAGCTGCCACCAAGGAGCTCAAGTAATAAAAGCCTTCTCTTTCACCCACCTCTCTTGTCACCTTTCCCTCTTCAGTTTATCCATTAACTAAGATCTATATGTAAGATACAACAGTTAAAATTAACTATTATGGGATATTGTATTCCATCACACACAGTAACAGTAAATAATTTAAAATGAAAAATACTAATCTTCTTTCAAAACCTAAGATTTCTGTGTGTTCCCAAGCACTGCAACATAAACCAAAAGCTAATCCCTCCCCTGAACTGGGTGTCATAGTAAATGATAGCAGAGATCTCTTCTAGCCTAAACTGCTCAAGAATTCTATGAACTGAATAGTTCATAGAATTCTTGCTCCCACCTGGGAGTCTGAAAAAAGTAAGCCCTCTTACCTCACATAAAATTACATAAGCAAATACATTAAACTAGATAACAACTAAAGTAAGTAGCTGTAATACATGTAGCATACAGGAAAATACACATCCCTAATTTTAAATAGGAAGTTTAATGAAAAGAATTTTCATTAGGTTTAACAGAAGTCAACAGGACTCAAGTCTTTGGAAAAAAACACTGTAACAAGGTTAGAGCAGAGTTAAAGACAATTTCCTCCTTGGTGACTCAAGTCATGAATAGAGAGTTGATGGAGAAGTCTCAGTTAATTACACCATAAAAAAACCTAAACATTTAAAAAACCCTATTACATCAGTAAAAACAGGAATGCATATTGCATGAAATATATGCAGATAACTATATTCCAGTAAATGCTACAAGTTGGAAAAACATTCCTAATGGTAAAAAAAAAAAAAAAAAAAAAAAAAAAAATCTGATTTCTCTTATGGAAGAAACATTTATTATTAATCCAGTGCATTTCTTAAATATTTCCATCATTTTGATAAGATTGAAAAGGAAGCATCAATGTTACTGAAATAGGGGAATATCTTTTACGATTCATTAATTGTGAATGTATTTAGGAAAACCCTCCATGCACTACATCTTTGTCCTCTGCTTTCTGTTTTGCGAACAAACAAGAACAGTGTTCATATTCTGCGGGACCTTCAACCATTTCCCTTCTATATCTTTTGGAGAGCAGTCAGTTGCTGAGGGTAGTCCTCAGCAACTAAACCCCACAGAAAATAAAAATAAATGCAGTTAAAACAAGATAAAAATATTTACTACTCTAAGCTGAAGTTACTCTCTAAAAATACAAAACAAAAATTTACCTCAGTCTTAAAATCACAGATGTACTGTAATAAAAAATAATCCTAAATTTACATTAATGTGCAAGACAGGTGTCACGACATATTAAAACAGTCTTAATATACCTTGTAACATATACTAGCATATTTTACACGGAAGAAATAAAGAATTGGGTAGGATAGTACTACATTATACAACTGCTTGACAAACCTGATCCTCTACAACAAGGCAACCTGCTTATTGGATGAGGGAAAGGCTGTGGATGTTGTTTACTTTGACTTTAGCAAGGCCTTTGACAGTTTCCCACAGCATTCTCCTGGTGAAACTGGCTGCTTGTGGCTTGGATGGGCACACGCTTTGTTCAGTTAAAAACTGGCTGAATGGTCGGGGCCAAAGAGTTGTGGTGAACGGAGTTAAATCTGGTTGGCGGCTAGTCACAAGTGGTGTCCCCCAGGGCTCGGTTTTGGGGCCACTCCTGTTTAACATCTTTATTGATGATCTAGATGAGGGGATCGAGTGCACCCTCAGTCAGTTTGCAGATGACACCACGTTGGGTGGGAGTATTGATCTGCTCAAGGGTAGGGAGGTTCTGCAGAGAGACCTGGACAGGCTGGAGCCATGGGCTGAGGCCAGCTGGAGGAGTTTCCATAAGGCCAAATGCCGGGGGCTGCCCTTGGGCCACAACAACCCCCAGCAGCACTACAGGCTTGGGGAGGAGTGGCTGGAGAGCTGCCAGTCAGAGAAGGACCTGGGTGGCTTGACTGACAGCCGGCTGAACAGGAGCCAGCAGTGTGCCCAGGTGGCCAAGAAGACCAATGGCATCCTGGCTTGTGTCAGCACTAGCGTGGCCAGCAGGGACAGGGAAGGGATCTTACCCCTGTACTCAGCACCGGTGAGGCTGCACCTTGATTCCTGTGTTCAGTTTTGGGCCCCTCACTACAAATTAATTGTATGACATTGAATGACTCGAGCATGTCCAAAGGTTGCAGAGAGCTGGGGATGAGTCTCTTTAACCAGGTAATAAGCAATAGGATGAGAAGGAATGCCCTCAAGTTGCGCCAGGAAAGGTTTAGAGTGGATATTAGGAAGCATTTCTTTCCAGAAGGGGTTGTCAGGCGTTGGAATGGGCTGCTCAGGGAGGTGGTGGAGTCCCCATCCCTGGAGGTGTTTAAGAGTCAGGCTGACATAGCGCTGAGGGATCTGGTGTAGTTGGGAACTGTCAGTGTTAGGTTAATGCTTGGACTGGATGATCTTCAAGGTCGTTTCCAACCTAGATGATTCTATGAACTACATTAACTAAGTACTGAAAAGCCTCTCAGTGCATCACCTAACACTGAAAAAGATGGAAATGGATTGCAGTTTTGTGTTTGAGAGAATACACACACTCAACACTTCTAACAGATTTAGAAGAAACTGTTTTCAAAAAGAAAGTTACATATTTCCTCAAATTCAGCTTTATTTTAATACCAGCCATTTCTGATCTTTACAAGAAGGAAGATAGTTGAAGATCTTTCCTTCTTTAGGTAACAATAGCTTCTACTTTCTAAAACATGCAAGTTTTTGTTTGTTTTTTCTTTCAGGAGAATATACAGTGTTAAGTAACTTGATCCTCCCAGTATATTTTGTTTTTTAAGACATCCTCCTACAGCTGGATCCAACACCCAATCTGAAGAAAAGCTGACTTACTTTCAATACATCAGTCCTCACACGATCTTTAAGTCAGGTCTACACTGACGGTTTTTGAGAAGAAAGCAGTTTAATTGCACAAATATTACTCACATTACAAACACATTTAAGGGACACATTACTAACCAGCAACATTTGATAATCCCCTGAACTAAAATAAAAGAGACAGCCATGAGGCTAACCTAAAAGAAGTCCAGAGACCACACAGAGGTCCCTCAAATTTCAGAGCATCAAGACACTGAAAGATCACATAAACTGCAATGCATTTTTACTAAAAACTAAATGTAAATCTCATTGTACACATTAGCACTCAAAAAGACTGTCATCTATAGCAGCTGTGAAGTCTTATTAATGCAATCTGATTACAAATACTGAAAACATTCAAGAATGAACAATCGGTATCCTCAAAAGATATTGCTGCAAGTAATCTTTTTTCTTAAGACTAGTTTGAGCATGACTTGTAAAATCTCAAGTTTTCCTCAAAATCTAAGTCAAAGGATATTTCAAGTACATTAACTTACAGCAAGAACTTCCTGTTCTTGAATCTTGGCCACAAAAAATTCTATTTCATACTTTCCAAATATGACTGCTGTTTATTAGAGGCAGCAATACACATGTTCTTCCCTTTGTACCATCATCTTATCTACCAGGTTCTACTTGCATTCGAAGTGTCCTTTTCTCTTATCTTTGTTTAAATCCAAAATGGTGTACTTAATTCCACCTCTAAGAAAGCAAACCTGTGACATCCTGTAGAAGATGAGCATATACTTAATCAAAAAGTAAAACTGAATTAAAAAAATATTGTGGGGTTTCTTTTTATATAGTATGGACAAAAACACCACCACTGAAAGAGGAAAGTAAATTTACTTTTCACAACACAGAAGACTCTCAAATGTTCCTGCTATACATCAAGCTCCATATGGCACAGTTTGTTCCAGACTGTTAATTTAATTTCAGCTACTACTTCAAAATTAGCAAACGGAAAACTAAAAAATCTTGTAGAAAAATAGTGATGCAAGAAGGCAAGTTCTGAGCTGGTTGAAGTTCTTACAAGAAAAAAAAATCAGATGAAAACGGCTAATACTGTAGAGTGAAGCCTGTCCGCAGTGAAGAGTCAATCTCAGTAAATTGTTAAAATACTGTCCAAAAAAAATTTTTTTCAAACTTTGTGAGGGGTAGAAAGTAAACTACTACATTAGGAAAACAGTTCAAAATAATTGCAAATGTTATATAACAGAGGTATTTTCTCACTCTTGTTATGAGAAGCAGAAAATAACCACTGTTCTGAACTACAGGAATAAGGCAAACTGGGAAAGACAAATTAAATAGAAAATTACATGAAAGAAATGTGAATAATCATTACTGGTTTTCATCACAGAACAAGTGAACAAAAGAATACTTACTGTCAGCCAGAAAACGCAATACGATAAACCTTCAAGAATGGACACTTTATGAGTCACTGATTAGGATGCAGAGATATTCACTCATCTTCAATATTAAAAAATGGCCATCACTAGTTACCACAGAAGTTGTCTACAAGCCTACAGAGATTTTTCTGAATGTCTTTATCTAGTGACCTTAAACACTAAACTTGAGAATTGCAATCTTTTACAGAAAATACCTGAAAGTTAGTAACTTGAATAAAAGCATGAATGAATTTATTTTCACAAAAAAGCTTATGTGCTTTTAAAGATCTTCTATCACATAAGCTACTACAGCTTCATTTTACACAGAACTCGTACTTTCAGAATGCTGTAGTACAGGCCAAAAATTCAAATGACAATCTAACTTGTTAACAAAAAAGAAACTAGTCTAACATAAGCCAAAATTTACCATAGGACCTGCTCTGTTGACTATAGAACTTTGCTTCCTATTGAAATTTATGTTTTTTCTGCTTATTTTGTCTTGTAGTTACTTGCTGCTTCTCTGAATTTTAAAACTACATTTAAAATGCTGCATTAATATATCATTATTTCCGAGGGTTTTCCCCAACTCTTCCAATGTTATAATACATTAAAATATTGTATATACAACATCTACAGAATAAAACCAACTAAAAAAGTTCCTCAAAACCTGTGGAAAATGTCACTGACCAGCCAAAGAATTAATGTATACATAAGGTAAAATCTGGCCCCACACAAACTGCATATAAACAGTACTTAAGAATAAAATTGGAAGATTTTCATTCTATGCCTCTATTAAATAATCTTTACATCATCTGTTCAGGTAAAGGAAAATCCTAACACGAACTTTCACTGACTATGGCTACACAGATGGAGCACTCTCAAAGGATATAACTGCAAAGACAGATATTTTTTTTGCCCAACACCATTGCTGTTGATCATTTGAGAGTAAACAGGATCAGAGGTATTCTGTCGAAATACAACTAACACTCACAAGGAAGGTAAAATTCTGCTTCTCAAATATTTTAAGGTAAAGTTCAAACATAATTTTTCACAAGACAAAGTTGCTTACAGAAGGTAATCACTTTAACAGATCTGGAAATCGTTTTTAAAAAAATATGTATATTAACTGTCTTAATACCAAATTCCTCATTAGAACATTCTGTCATTTAATTTGGTTCCACTAGAGTTAAGAAACACTTTAAATCCATGGAACCAATATATAAAAACCCTTCTATCAGCTTCATTTTTTAAACAACAGTAATGAAATTGACAACAAAAATAACTGCTGAACATAATGCAGGTATTTTTTAATTTGTCATCAATTTAAGGCACTTTACTTACCTGCAAAACTACTTTCTGAAAGCAATATCGACTGTATCTCCAAGTTCACAATTAAAACATGTAATGTAATTACATTCACACTAGATATACATCTTCAGAAGTGTATATGGGAATTTTATGCTGCAGCTTAGAATCTGGTTTTTAGTTTTAAAAATGGCATGAGAGTATCTAAGTATCAAAACACATCCATGGGGGCATGGAGGATACCCTACTTCCACAGAACAAGTTGCAAATTTAAGATGCGCTCCACAAATCACCCTGGTGGGTGTGGAGTTGAAGGCCTGTAATTGGTAATGGTCTGGGTAACTGGACCATCATGTAGAAATACAATAAAATATTTAACTGAAAATTGTGTGTTATAACATTTGGGAAATCTAAAATGCAGCATTGTTTTAAGTTTTCCTTGCACAGAGAAACACATCTAGGCATATATTAAAACAGAGTGAACATTGGATGGATTCAAAACAGTTTTCGCCAAGTGCAATATCAAGGATTAGATTAATTGACAGTCAATGTTTCCCAAAAATGTCCTTTATCATGAAGTATTTATGTAAAAATCCAACTAATTCTTAGTTGGAATGTGGAATATAACATTGCAAAATTAACTTTGAACACTTTAAAAGAAGCACTAGTCATAGCCACAGTACGATAGATATGATTCTTTGCAAGACTTTTGTATTAACAATTTTTCCTCACCAAGTAGATACTATATATGCTGTTGTAATCAAAAAAAGAAAAATCTGATCATAGTTGCTATCCCATAACTGATCTGAGTTACCAAGTAATTAGAATATGCAAGTATTTCCAAAAGGAAGAACACCACCAAAGTTTTTCATTGCTACAGAGGTCTTGTAGGAGAAACTTCTAACAAACACATGCAGTCTTTTATGCATGTTGCAAAAATTGTTTACAATCACAATAGTTCAATGTTTAAGATTTCCCCAACAAAGTTCTGGCCTGTCCACACATACTTAAACATATAAAACACAAACAAAACAGTGTCAGTGAAACTTCCTGGCATGAAACCAAGCTCCATCGTTTTCCAGCTAGAACTTTTATAGAACCTGGAAGCCATTTACTGTAGAACAGGAGCAAGATGAGGTAGATTTGAATGAAGACAGACGCTTACCATTTGAATAAACAGAGTTCTGACTGAGGAAAACAATACACATTTACCAGGCAGTTCTTGTGTTTTAATCAAAAGTTTAAGAAACTGGTCATCTGAACAAATCCAAATGGATTAAGAAAAATTGCTTTCTTATTAAATACCGGGATCCAAGTCCATACACAGTAACTCTTGAGCTACAGTGTCTGCTTTAATCAAAAGATATCTAACAAAAACTACTACTATTTTATACTACAGACGCAAAGGTCAGAATCACATTAGGAACACAATGGCCATCACAATAAATTAGGGACAAACAAGAATAGCTGATTCTTACCTAAAGAACATACAAGTTCCCCTATAAACAAACAATTAATAATTCAGAAAGGGCAGGAGGGAAGCTAACACAAAGACTCCATAAGTAAATAAAATTTTTAAATTATTGTAAAACCCAACACTATATACAGAAGAGAAACAAAGCCTTAAGAACCTAATTTTGACATCATATTGTATTTTTCAGATCTTTTGTATTAATACATTTGGAAAACACTTACCAGCTAAAACTGCCACAAGTTTATCAACAGAACTGCACTC